TGCGGCAGTTCTGCAGCTGCCCGTGACTGAGTGGGGTCGCCGTGGGCTCAGGTTAGAATGTGCAGAGCAGAGGCTGCTGAGGAAAGGACCGGCAGTGGTGAAGTCAGAGGTTGTGTAGAAGGCAAGAATGAGAAACACATCATCGTGCCTTTATTGGCACTTCGTGCAGCTATACAAAGGTTCACGTTCTTTATGCCTTGAGCAGAGGTGTGTGTACGTCCTCACCCTTTTGTGTCACCTCTGAAGCCAAATTAAGTCAACCCTTGCAGTTCTGAACACCTTGTCTTTCATGGCCGGTAACCAAGGCACAGCCTGTTAGATCAAGAAACCAAATAGTTACCAAAGCAGTGAACTTATTTACTCTAGGAACCAAATTAATTGTTGACTTTGGGTCTTTAATATGGAACACAGAAAAGCAGTATCAGGTCAGGTGTACAAAATTTGATGTGTTTGAGGATGGAGAAGTTTACATTCTTCTAAAAGGGACATTATAAAATTGCAGCCTTGAATTGAGAAGAGATGAACACCGTGTTTAGATTTTTCAAGCAACTTAATGTGCGGGGAACAGCCTGGAACCCAGGAGACCTGGATCCTCGTGTCAGCTTTCCTTAGTTAATCATGAGGTGTCTTAGCATTTGCTCATCTCCTTTATGAAGAGTTTAGAGTCCAGGGGTGGGCAAACTTTTTGACTCGAGGGCCACAATGGGTTCTTAAACTGGACCGGAGGGCCGGAACAAAAGCATGGATGGAGTGTTTGTGTGAACTAATATAAATTCAAAGTAAACATCATTACATAAAAGGGTACGGTCTTTTTTTTTTTTAGTTTTATTCATTTCAAAGGCCCGCGGGCCGTAGTTTGCCCACGGCTGGTTTAGACTAAATCACCTTGAAAGAGATTTTAAACCTTAAAACATTATGAAGTACAGGGTATTTATCTGGACACTGTGGGACTAGGGAGCATAGATTCCTCCTGATACGAAAGAGATCAAAGAAATTTGGGTGCATTAATACGGGTTCTTAATTGTGGCATTAATAGTTTTTCTTACATACATGTTTTCTCTCTTCTTTTAGATAACAAGGAGAGGAATATTTACAAGCTTCAGATTTTGGCTGCCTGTCTGAAACTTGATGATGTTCCTTGTCACAAGGCCGTAGACTTAGTACTGCCATCGCTGCCACCTGCACCATTGTATCCAAATGCAAAGGTGGCCGAGGTGCTGAGCAGCCTCCTGGGAGAGGGGTACTTCTTGGAAAATGTACAGTTGCCACATAATCATCATATCGGTATGGGACTTGATATGATTTACGTCTGCTTCATTTTGTTTATTTTCCATTCTGTCTCTCTTTTTAAAAATATGTTTTTATTTGATTTTTTAGAGAGAGGGGAAGGGAGAGGGATAGAGAAATAGAAACATCAATGAAAGAACATTGATTGACTGCCTCCTGCATACCCCCTACTGGGGATCGAGCCCGTAACCCGGGCATGTGCTATGACTGGGAATCAAACCAGTGACCTCTAGGTTCATGGGTCAACGCGTAACCACTGAGCCACACCAGCTGGGCTGTTTTCCTTCCTGACTAGGAGTTGACCATGGCATTTTACTGTAGTGCGGCACTGGCTCTGGCGCTGGACGCCTGGGTGGGGTTTCTCACTTGGCTTCTCACTGGTGCTGTGACTTCAGGCACTTACCAGTCTCCCTTTGCCGATGTGTAAAATGCCAACAATGATCTGCTCACTTCTTAGGATTCCCGTGATGAGTGCATGAGATTGCCCTTGTAAAGCCCAGACCAGTGTCTGGCACATGGTAAGCTCAATATATAGGGTGTCCCCCCAAAATGTATACACACACTTTGAATAATAATAAAGGCAGTTTTATTAAAATACATTTCATTTTCAAAATTGAGCTATCAGCTGTTAAAGTATCATCACATTTTTTTGGAACACCCTATATTTTAGCTGCTGCCTTTATCATCTTTGGTAGTAGTAAGGTACATTTTGAAACAAAAATCACTTTGAGCAATGTTTGAAAAATTATCAATTCTTTTCTTTCAGATTTTGAAATCAGAATGGATTCTAACAGGAGTGAAGTGCTTCCACTTTCTGATGCGAATGTAGTAACTTCTGCTACAGATATTCAAAGGTTGCTTACATCTGTTCATATGCCCAGCTTTATGATTTTAAATCTTAATTCTCAAAGACTCCCTGTTAAATATTAGTAGCAATCCTGAGACCTTATATTTATATGAAGCTTGTAATGCACCAAGAGACTTCTCAGCTGCGAAATCTCCTCAGGTCGTAAGTGTGGGCACTGCAGCCTTCAGCAGTGCACTGGAGTTGGGCCATTTACTGAAATAGGCAATTTTTAAAAATTAAGTTTTAAAGCTAAACAGTTCAAGAAAACAGTGTTAATGTGATTGAAACTATCAGTGCAATGTGAACTTTTGACAAGATAATGCAATAGTGATTAAAAAGAGTTAAGGCCTCTAAAAAATCAAATACCCACTAAATATTTTGTTCTACCATGAAGACCTTTATAAAGGTAGAGAAACTAGCTTCTTAATTAAGCTATTGTACGTGGGTCAGATCATATCGGAGTTAATCCTAAATTGTTTCCTTGACCCACACACTACCAATAGGTGTCTCCGGGAGAAACGTGATGCTACACCCTGAGAAGCTGTCCTGCCTTTTCAGTAGATGATAGATGATGAGATGGTGTTGCACACGCCCTTGCTCAGTCAGCCTTTGTGGAAAGGTCTGCTGGGCTCTGTGGGGCACACAAACATGAGTCAGACATGGATTCCGACCCCACGGAACTTATATCCTATATTGCTTTGTAGGACATGCTCATAAGTATGGTAGGGAGAGGTCCAGAAAAACATTTGTAAGGATTCAAACTCTCATCTGCCCATCCCCTCTCCATTCACATACAACTCTTTTACTCATTTCTGCACCCATGTAGCTTATTCCTTGGGCATCTTTTTCAGCTGCTGTCTTCCCTATGTATGTTGCCCATCTCCTCTCAACCAAAGACTCTCTCTGATCTTGTTAGAAAGTTATTTTTCTTTTTTAAGTATTCTATTGTTCTGCATAACATTATAACATAGCAGCTCTCAGCCTAAGGTATGAGAAGAATTGAGGAATTTGAGCATTCCTTTAAAAATATAATTTTTTTTCTCTGATTTGTTATGTCAAATAACAGTCAGAAGACAGTAGGAATACAAATGTCTTTTCCCCAAAGGCCAAGAGCAATGAAAAAATCAAATTCCACGTTCCACATTTTTGTTACACATGCGGATTTTATCTTTTTAACAGTCTTGCCTTTCTTTTAGTTTTTTCTTCTTTGTATTTGGCCTCCCCATTCTGGTTTTTAAATTCTCTCTCTCTCTCTCTCTCTCTCTCTCTCTCTCTCTCTCTCTCTCGGAGGCACTCTGTACTAGAAGAGCTTTACCATTTGGTATTATCTACATCAGTACTTCAGTAGCGTAAATAATTATCTGTAGGTCAGAGATTAGCCTTAAAATGGGTGCTTTCATATTTGAAATTTTCCCTTATCAGGAATGTAGCCACCCTTAAAGATGATTGAGGAGTAACTTTAAAGCATTTTTACAAGCTTTTGGTTGTTAATGTAGCCTTCATATAGTGGATTATGTACAGAGGCCAATTAACAAGGAAGTGGCGGACTAAGACAGTAGGGAATGGTGAGGGTCCGTGGAGAGCTCAGCTTTGAAATCTCCAAATACAGCAGGATTGTGACTGGTAATCTCATTAGTAAGTACTCTCATATTGTGTATTTTCATTTTCAGAGTGGCTGTACTGTGTGTTCCTAGATCTACTTACTGTTTGGATTTAACCCACCCTAGAGGATTCCTTGCTACGAAAATGCGTCATTTGAAAGTAATGGGTTTTCATGTGATCTTGGTAAGAAAAAAACGCAGGTGATGTGTTCTTTCGTTACTGATGTCCATTCTGCCAGGAGTGTTGTAGTTGAAGTTGGTTACTAGGATTCTGGAGGAATTGTCAGCAGCACAGAGATAAGTGTTTTAATGATTGGTTTGGCTTCTCCTTAGGTGATTACTGTCATTTACTAGGGGTTTTATAAGTTCTACATTTGGTGAACTTTACTCCTTTTTGTTAAAGTTTTGTTTTCATGGGCCAGTGTGAGGCTGGATGTTTGTCACCATAAAAACTGGATGGTTATAAGGGGATGGTTGTAGGATGTTTGTCACCATAAAAACTGGATGGTTATAAGGGGATGGTTCTTCTTCCCTCTTGTGCTTCATTTTGGTTCTGGGTACCACAGCTTTTCTTGAGCAGCCTCTCCAGATGTATGGAGCAAGAACTTGACGAATAAATACATATTTATGTCAACGTTGGGATCTATCTAAATGCCACTCATTGGTCCTGCACACAATATGAAATGCAAACATTCTAATATTCATTATGATAGTTAAGTATCTAAAAATGGATTATACATGGAGACTGAGGTTAAGATGGCCCCTTCTCTTAGTGGGCTACTATTTAAGACTTTTTTTTCATATTGGCTATTTTATATATTCTAGGGAAGAGTGTCCCTAGAAGGGAATTTTTGCACCCTTTAGAAGACCTTTAAAGTTTTTATAATTTTCAGCTTAGCACTTTCTTCAACCCTAGCACAGTCTTACTAAGCCTTTAAAATGTAAGTATAAGATAACATTTGTTTTTAAAAAGCAGTTGGCTTGATGTTACTTTAATATGTTTGAATGAAGAAAGTAGCTTTTATTTTATGCGGCATCATTTTCTTGCAAACCGATTATTTTCCTCTTTCTTCGTAAGGTCAACAATTGGGAGATGGAGAAACTAGAGATGAAGGAGGCGGTCACATTTTTGAAGTCTCAAATCTATTCAACTGAAAGTCCTCCTACCGCTGATGTTAATTTTCAGAGCACGTGTTAAAGTAAAAAACAACCTTTTCATATTAGGAGACAGACATAAATTTGTAAAATAACTTTAATAAAGACTACAATTCAACTATCAATGGCATTTACTTGACTGCTTACCATAACAAAAAGTTACTTCAGTTCACTGTAATAATTAATTTTAAGAATAGAAGAAATGTTACTGGTATTTTAGGAAATGCTGAGAAAATTCCAGAAGGGTAATTTTTCCAACCATAACTATTCCCTCTAGTGCCCAGACATTTGACAGATTCATGAGCTGTATGTTTTACTGTTTCTCAATGGCTTTGATAAACTGAAAACTGGTTTCTTGGTTGTGATGGGTTGCAGGTAAGTTGGTGTGGGCAGTCCTTGTGTTTGGATCTGCTTACTTACACTCTTATTACAGCTGTCTGAGGGCTCAGACCTTGACCATATGTCAAGCATTGGCCACCAGGTTCTCGGTAGATGATAAGAATGAATGAGGATGCCCTGACTGGTTTGGCTCAATGGATGGAGCATCGGGCTGCGGACTCAAGGGTCCCAGGTTCGATTCCGGTCAAGGCCATGTACCTTGGTTGCGGGCACATCCCCAGTGGGGGGTGTGCAAGAGGCAGCTGACCAATGTTTCTCTCTCATCAATGTTTCTAACTCTCTATCCCTCTCCCTTCCTCTCTGTAAAAATCAATAAAAATGTTAAAAAAAAAAAAAAATGAATGAGGCAACAGGTTACAAATGGGTGAGGACCGGGCAACTGCATTTGTCACATTCTAGGTGGAGGAGGGTTTGTGGGCATACCTAATAAAACATATGATATAACACATAGGTCAAGGAGTCCAAACTTTATGAAAATGGATAAGCTGAGGGTGAAAAACCATATAATTCTACCATTATTGAGACGATTCGTTTCCATTACACTATGCCCGTTCCAAGAGTTGGAAAGGCTTTTAAATTA